CCCCCCCCCCCCCCCAAATACCACATAGTCATGTTAGAAGCACACCAAGCTTGACACCAAGACTTTGACACCAAATATTTCACAGATATATATAAGACAATTATGATCTGCCACTCACGGATAATAATTGTTTGTGCACGTCTCTGAAGCACTTGGTGTTAAACATGTTGGCCACTCAAGACACTGGCATTATGGGTAAGAAAACTTTTGGTGTGGGTTTAAATTTTAGTTGTATTTTAACTTTGGCAAAATATTTCTCGAGTTTAAAATCTTTCAGGTATTGTCAAAAGGTGTAAGAATTAGTTTAATCCAAAACCCAGATGTAAAAGTGCTTGAGCTTGTTGTGTAGAGAGTTTATACAAAACACATTTCTTTAACAAAATAAACACTCTACGTTTTTGCACACTAGAACAAACTCATAAGCATACATATTGTTTTTTAAACATAAAAATGATTGGGCTTCCCTGATGACCAACTTAACACGCCACAACCATTCCATGGCATTTGTCACCATAGTAAAGGATGAGCCCCGAGGGCTCCTTCAGATCCGGTCGGACGGTCACTGAGAGGAGGTAATTTTGATTTTGATCGCAGAATGATGGCAGAGAGCGAAGCCTGCATTTGGTACTTGCAGAGGGCATTTGGTACTTGCAGAGGCCATATGCATAGCATAGTTACCTCCCAACGTAGTTGCCAGAAATTGAACTCGGGTTTACTCTCTTGACACTCGCCTTTGTCAACTGCGCAACACCCACCGGCAATGTTGATATTCTTCTCCATGACATCTATAGGATGGAAAATATAGCACCTTAGGAATGAGTTCCCAAGCTCATTAGTTAATAAGCACTCTGCCATCTAAAAAAGATTCATTATTTCTTTTTTGAGATGTTTCAAAAAAAGTGTTTTCTTTTCTTTTTTAGAGAATTTTGAGTCACTCACATTATTAATGATTTTGCATTTTGTAGAATACAACATTATGATGATCTTTAGAAACACGAAGTCATTTCCACAAGGCAGAAAAGCCCACTATCAAGTGGCATCAAAATCCTTTCATCCAAGTGCTATTATCCTTCAAATGGATTGTAGTTCCTTCAAACAAGAAAAAATATGAGATCTCATACAACAAAAACATTTAAACAATAATATCAAGCATTTGTTTGTTAAATAAAAAAATAATTTGATAACATTTCTTACAAGTTGTGGTATAATAGAAAACAATCGTACAATACCTGAAAGTGTGGGAATAACTCGCGAAAGCTCTAGCACCACCACCAAAAAATGGAGATCAATCTGAAGACCGTTGATGGAATTTCTATTGGCTACAGTGGTAGCATGTATCGATTCTTAGTGTACAAATTTGATAGTTCAGAAATTCACAAGAATACGATAATCAAGTTAAGGAATGCAACAATCTTTAGACTTATTTTTTTGTTAAAATTGAGTGCTGAAGCAAGTTCATCTAAACACTCATATGATGAAATGATGAACGATGGTGACCCAGACTAGTCTAGGTAAGGTACAAAGGGTAAAACCAAAATTGAGGCTGAACTAATCGAGATGTAGTAAAAGGACACAGACTAAGAAGTCATTTGGTCTTGACTTTCTAACTTACATGTTGGAATTTGAATCAAGAACTCTGTAATATTTGATAGAGAGCCAATTCGATATTATAACATACTCCGTATTTAATAGAAAATGACGTACGAACCTACCATGAGGAACTAATTTTGTCTAAAGGCTCTTAAAGGAAAGAGACTATTAAAAGTGATGTTGATTCTATTTTATAGAATCATACTTAAAAGTTAGTGAAATTTGCACTAAATAAGACTAAAACATAATGACTTTCCTAATCTAAGACTTAAACTTTTTTATTCCCTAAATAGGACTTAATAATGTCTTCGTGGAAGGAATAATGCCCAGCAATGATAGACATTACTTGAATAATGACTAAAGAATAATGACCAAAAGTCCTACATTCGAAAATAAAAACATATGGTCCTATTTTGGGAAAGTCATTATGTTCTAGTCCTATTTAGGTAAATTACTCTAAAAGTTAATGGGTCTATCTCCAAGCTGCAAGCCGTTACGTTCGAAGTGTGGATCTTTGAGAGGAAAATAAAACCTGACAGTTCCATTGATAATTACAAAACTTGACTTGTAATTAAGGGTTACAGTCAACATGAAAACTTTGATTACTTTGATATTTATGCTCATGTGACCATGATAAACTCCATTAGATTAATACTTGTAATTGTTTTCTTCCGAAACTTAGAAGTTTTTCAAATTGATGTAAAGAAGACTTTCCTTAATGGAGATCTACATGAAGAAATCTACATATAACAACATAAAGTGTTCAAACTTCTAGGCTTGGAAAAGAAAGTGTGTAAACTTGTTAAGTCACTGTAGCGTTTTAAACAAGCGCCAAAGCAATGACATAAGAAGTCTAACCAAATAATGCAGATTAGGCCTGGACACGGTCCCGGTACGGGACCGGTGACGGAGACGGTGAAACAGTACGGACGACCGGACCCGGAGGGGAGCGGTATATTCCTTCAAGGGTTTCTTTACAATTCTTTACCTCGTCACTTTTTTGAACCGTCAGGGTATTAAATGTAGTTGTTTTTGTACAATTCATTTTTCATTATTTAAATAACAACTACATTTTTAGATATTCTAATTCATAAAAAATTATAAATTTCTTTTTTGCTTTTACACTTACACATTTATAATTTATCACAAAAAACATTTTAAAAAAATTGAAGGCGGAACAAACCGGTCCGGTATGCTGCTGGAACCAGCACCGTCTACACCAGCGCCGGTAACAATTTCATGGAGTGGCGGTACCGGAATCGGAACTAAACCGGAACCGTACCGCGTCCACCCCTAATGCACACAAGTGTGTCTACGTGAAAAACACAACTTAGGGTATGTCATTCTATGTCTTTATGTAGATGACATACACATAGTGGGTAACAAGAACAATATGGTCAGGTCTATCAAAGACATGTTAAACTCGTAGTTTGACTAGGATACAACTTTGACTGAAATAATTCTTTGGAATTCAAATTGTGAGAAGATCGAAAGCTCTAGCTTCGAGTCATTCACATTACATTAAGTCCTTATAAATTCAACAAGGATGACAACAATCAAGCTAAAACATTGTCAGAAAAATTATAAAAATATCCATAGTACAAATTTCTTTCTAAAAGTACAAAATGAATTTTTTTGAACAAACAAAAAAGAAGATATGAAAGTTTTTTATGGGACTGAGGGCACAATATATAACTTGCAACCGATTGTATGCTATTTTGTGTACATCCAGTAGCGGATCCAGGAATTAAAGAGACCGGGGGCGAGACTTCTACGGGCGGTGTTCGTGTAGTACCCCCAATTTTTTCCAAAAAAATTGTGTGAAGTTACAAAAAAACATCTAAAAAATATTCAAAAAATTAATAAAAAATTTTTAAAAATACACCCTAGAAAATTATTTCTCTTAATAATTTTTATTTTCATCTTATATTTTTGTTGTTTTAAATATTTTACAATCACTTTTTTACTTTAAAAATACATATTTGGTTTTCAACTTAATTTTTTTTATTGGAAACATTTCATTTGGGGGGGGGGGGGGGGTC